TGTCATGACTCAAGATGGAAATAATTTTCTAAAAAGAACACATATGTATATGCACTTAATCATCGACACATAGTGTAAGAGGAACCAGCAGCTACAGAAGGAGAGCAAAGAAGGAAGCTGCTTGCTTTTGGCGCTGGTGGTGGTGGAGCTGCAACGACAACTTGGTTTCATTAAGGCACTGTGGTTGTGGGCCTTTGGTGTTTTGCATGGGAGGAGTGTAGGAATTGTGATGCATATGGTTTAGGGAGGGCAGAGGTGCGGCAAAGAGGCAAAGAGTCAGAGGTCTTTTTTTGGAGAAAATTGAAAAGTGAGAGACGAGAGCAGGTAGGTTAGTTTCTTTTTTTTCCCCTCTATATATTTATGTATTTAATTGGTATAGACTGGGGCCAGTTTTCTCAGTCTATACCCTCTTCGACTGGAGACTAGAACAACATTCTTTTGGTATCCAGACAGGGAAATAGATACTTCTATTGACTAATGATAGCTCTGGTGATAATTATTGCAACATAATTTGATCCGATAGCTTCGCTTCTGCCTTCTAAGATCTGTGTGGATTATGATTATAATTTAGTTAAATTAAAATTTCTAGGTGGTGATAGGGTTTTGGTGAATAGCAGAGAGTGATGAAGATGGAGAGAGAGACAAAGTGAAGAGAAGTTTTCTTAGGAAATTGTGGAATTTTGTTTTTTGTTTTTGATTTCTTTAGAAGTTTTCGGAATTTTGATTTGGGTTTTATTTTCTTCTTCTTGTCTCAGTTCCAACTTGGTTTTTCCTGCTGCTATGGTGAATAACGTCGAAGAAGATGAATAATTATGATTTTGATTTTTATCCTAAATTTAACTTATTCTCAATTTTGCTCTAGACTATAAGTCAACCCTTTTTTTTTTGGTTCCCAAATAAGACTGTTTTTTCTGCTTCTTCTATTTAGAAGTAACTGAGTCAATATTTTCAAAACAAACTTAAAATGTGGTGACTAAATTGAAATACATATAGGACTAAAATGTTATATGAATCATACTTTGGCTAAATTATGTATTTTCCTAAAAAATACTGGGAAGAGATTGTTATTCCCGTTGATCAAGTTGAGTTTTCCAATGATGGAGCTCTTGATTTGGTCATAAATAATGATATTTTTGAAGTTAAAAACAATGCTATTTTTGTTGATTTTAAGAAGAAAGAGACCCCAACTATCGTGAAGATTCTACCTCACATGCTTCTTTGGCTCCTAGCAATAATGAGGAAAGTTTTGCTATTCTTCCTTTCATGGATCTCATCGTTCTTAATTGGTTCAAAACATTTTTTGAATCTTTGATTTGGAAGTATTCAAGTTTTTTCATGACAATTTCAAGTTTTGTAAGCTTTATTTGTTAAGAATATAAGTCCCATCTTTGATACTCTTTCTATTTCAATATTTTTGAACTTGAAGTCTAGTTTTAACAAAGTGGGGTTGAATGATGCAAAACAGTTAGATCTTAGAATGAATATATTTCAACAATAAATATATTTATGTAATTGTAATATTTATATATTGTGGAAAAACATAATCTAGTATCTATTACTGAATATGGAGGCCTTATATATATTTATATTCTTGGAGTAATAAAACGAAACATACAATTAATTACATATACGGGTGTTTTACTAATTCACCTTTTATCCTGATTATGTAAAACATATACTTTCCAACATTCCCCTCAAGCTATTAAATAAATATTGTCCATTCTCCGGTTGGCAATGGTTGTCTAAAATTCTAGATTACTTGCAAGTTGCGAGTTGGTAACCTATGTAAGGTATGCATATCATGCTCCTATTTAATTTTTCTTGGATAAAATGTCTGTCAACTTCAAAATGCATAGTTTTATGATGTTGTATTGGGTTGTGAGCAATTCTGATCATTGACTTGTTGTTATAGTAGAGTCTCATAGGACATCTCATTTAATCTTTAGGTCTTTGAGAACTTTCTTTAACCATAGTACCTCACATATTTTTGTATCATACTTGAAATTCTGACTCTGCATTAAACTTTGCTACCACATTATGTTTTTTACTTCTTCATATGACTAGATTTTCTCAAAGAAAGGTACATAGGCTGTGGCTGTCCACTATTAATCCTACATAATCTACGTTAAGTGTAGGTTTCAAGAAGTAACTTGTTTCTCCTGAACATGATACTTTTTCCTAGTGTTCCCTTTAGGTAGTGTAACTTCAATATGCAGCCTATAGATGCCTTTTTTGTTAGACTTGTGCATAAATTGACTTATCATATTTACTGCATAAACAATATCTTGTCTCATGTGTGACAAGTATATTAGTCTTTCAATCAGTCTTTGGTATATCTCCTTATAAACTTATGTGTCTTCCTCATCTAATCCCAATTTATGGTTGGTGTGCTAACCACTTTGTATAACAGTTCACCTATCATTTAGTATATTACTTGTGTACTTTTACTGTGAGATGAAAATTTCGGCCTTTGAGTGAATCACTTTTATTCTAAGGAAATACTTTATATTTTTCTGATTCTTTAATCTCAAATTTTTTGGTTAGGCATGCTTGAGCACCAATCTCTCCTTTTCATCATACCTGTTCCAATAATATCATAAACCTATACAAGGAGAGCTGTAACTCCCCTTGAGTATGAGTACTTGATAAATAAGGTTTGGTTTCCTTGACTCTACTTATTCGCTATCACTGGCTTTACCTTTGCAAATCTTCCAAACCATACTTTTGATAATTGTTTGAGCCTATAAAGTAATTTTTTTAGTTTGCACACTTTATTTGCTCCTACTTTTTGGTAAATCCTGGAGGAATTTCTATATAGATTTTTTTTTTCAAGTCTCAATGTAGAAATGCATTTTTTACATCAAATTGCAGTAACTACCAAAATCAAAGTTGGCGGCTAGGGATTGTAGGACGATATTATATTCATCTTGGCAACTGGTGCGAACGTTTCCTGTTAGTATATCCCATAAGTTTGAGTATAATCCTTGGCCGCCAATCTTACTTTATATCTCTCTATGGTCCCCATAAGCCTTGTATTTTATGGTAAATAGCCACTTGCATCCACAGGTCTCTTTCCTTGGGAAAATCCACCACTTCTTATGTCTGTACTCTTTTCAATATTTATATTTCAACACTCATGCATTTGTTCACTCCTTACCAAATAAAGTCTCAGACAATGAATTAGCAATAGACACTGCATTTAGACTTATGAGAAATTTTTGTAATATGTTGAGCATCTATCAAATAACAAAAAGTTTGTAATTGGGTAGAATGGATGTTTAGTATATTCACTAGTCCTTTTTCTGAGTATAATTAAATATATTTCTAAAGATAAAGAGTTATTAGAAGTTTCCTCATTCCCAGCACTCAGTGCTCAGATACTTGAAGTTGCTTTGGTTTAGGATTCGAGTTTCTTCTCCTTGAGTACACTTCAGTGAATCATGGGTCCTGTATGGTTTCTGATCCAAATTCATTATCTGGATTTTGGTGTACCTTGGGTTCATTTTTTGGGTTTTTGACACTGAGAATGAGAGAGTTCATTTTTTTGGTGAGGAAGGTAGTGTGATGTCAAGCATGATTAAATCCTTATCTCTACGACATTCTCCCCCTAAAGATAAAGTTGGCTAAAGAAGAATTCAATTTCAACAAACTTTTTGGTAAGAGGGTGATAATATTGAATCTCCTTTATGTGGATGGAGTATTCTAGAAATACACACTTAAAGGGTCTTGGGTCAAGTTTTCCCCTTTGATGTTAACGTATCTGAACATAGGTAATATACACCTAAAGACTCTAGGGATAAGATAATTTGTGACCCTTACCTTTGGAAAAAAAATATGGAGTAGACTTCCATGTGACTATGAAATTCCAATACCTTAGATGGTAACATGTTAAAAAGATATGTGACAGTCAAAATTGCCTCCCACCAATATCATTTAGGTACCTGATATTGAGACAAGAAGACATAGGTAATATGATGTAAGTAACTATTTTTCTTTTTTGCTACCTCGCTTTGTTGTGAAGTGTGAACACAAGAATACTTATGAATAATCCCCTCACTGTAGAAAAGGATGATAGTGTTTGATTGAAGTAGACTTTGGTGTTGTCAGTTTGAAATCATTTGATTTTTATCCCAACTTGAGTTTTAATCATATTGTGAAATTAGGGAAGGACATCACTCACTTCAAGTTTAGATTTTAGTAAGAAGACTTAGGTCATTCGTGTTCAATCATCTAAAAATAAACCATTCAGCTCTAGAAATGTTGGGAATGTTTGACAAACCTCAAACATCACTATGAATTAACGTAAAAGGAAAATTGCTTCTTCTATTACTTGAACGAAATTACTTCTTTATATTTTGTTAGTTCACATACATCACAGTATAAATTCTCATTATTGAAATTTTAAATGAGAAGAGAAACATAACCTTAAGAATAGAAAAGGAAGAGTGTCTTAATCGTCTATGGTGTAACCATGTTTTGTCTAATGTATTAGTTGAGAGAGCGGAAGATGGCATCTCAGGTGCATTCAAGAAGCACAACCCATTCCGTGTCTCAGCATGTCCAATCATCAATCCTGAGGTCTGGTGCTGAAATTCACAATGAGATGAAGAGAAAATTAGTTTACAATTGAAGTCGTGATAATTTGGTCATTGAAAGAAGGTTTGTGCATAATTAGGAACACGAAACATATCAGTAAGTATAAAGTGGACACTAATCTTTATAGTTCCAACTCTTGTTATAGTAGTCAGTGAACCATCACCAATAACTATTTTCTTATTATTAGAATGTGGGACATAGGTGTTAAAGTACTTGGAAGAGTTGGTCATGTGATATGTGGCTCCTAGTCTATAATCTAAGGATGCTGCAAAGGGTTTATTTAAGGCATTTAATCCATGTGAGATATTAAGAGTCCTTGACTGTGTGAATAAATTAGTACCTGTAGGTTTCTCTAGATACTCAAGTCAGAGTCCTTAACCTCGTAGTCTCTACTTTGAATTCACTAATATATGAAGCAGACTCTTCTCCAATTCAGTTTTGTATAGTTGCCATATCGAGATTAGTGCCAGTGATTGGTGATGTAATTTTAGGCGTGATAAAGAAGTTGGAGCAATCAAGGCCTACAGTCCAATAGTCAGCAACGAAGGTTGTGTAACTATAAATCCAAGGGGAGTGGCTGGTCGGTGCACAGCTGGTTGTGTGCCGCTGGCTATACTCGGCTAGCAATGAAGGCCGGGAACGAAGTGGAACGGACCACTTGTTCTCACGAAACAGAGGATGTTGAAAAACAGAGCCCAACAAAGGCTTTTGTGGCTGTGCAGAACAGAGCAAAACAGAGCAAAAACAGACACATGGAACAGAACAGCAAAGCAGCAGATTAGGTCCGCAGAAACAGAGTCAAAATGGAGCACCAGCTGGACCAGAAACAGAGCACCGGGCAGAGCAAAACAGAGGCGAAACAGAGCAGTGGTGGCTGAAACAAGAGTTCGGAAAAACAGAGCAATGGCGGCAGAAAACAGATCTTGCAAAATAGAGTTATGTTGGGTGTTTTCTGGCTACGAAGGGTGGCTGGGCAGCAGCAGGATAGCTGCAGAATTTCGGGTATTAGGGGTGGTTATGTGTTTAGTTTTTTTGTCATTTTATTTCGGGCAATAAAAGCTGGTTAACTATTTGGTAGACTGATAATGATTGTTGTTCAATAGAGTTATTGATTTGATTATTAAGATCTAAAATCTTCAATATTGATTCTTGAGAAATTTCTTTAAGTATTTTTGTTCAAGCTCTCTTTGTCCTGTATGAGCTTTCCTATCATCTTTCTTAGTCTTTCCATCCTGTCTAGCAAGCAACATAGAAACATCAAGTAACTGAACACATTCAGTTTTGTGCAGACAATAAGAATATCTAATCTCTTAGCATCCTCAGGGAAAGGCAACTTGATCCTTAATGACAGCCATAGAGAATGTTCTGAGGAGCAGATCCTTCTTAGAGCTTACTTTATAAATTATATGTAGCCAAAACCTGTCTTGCCATATTGATTATAGCTGAGACGTGGGCTTGGTTTGCAACTTGAAAACTCCTACACATTATAGCATGAATTCCTGAA